AGGGTTAAAGATGTCTAATTCTACGAAAAACACTCCAAATGAACTTTTTATTTATTTTTACGATTTTACAATTTTAAAGTGGAGAATCCACTCCAGCCCTTATTAGCACAATCCCAGTTTGTCACTCCTTACCTAATACAATGTTTCAATCACTAGAACACCAACAAAACCGTTTTGCTGCTCTGAGAAGAACGATATCGGTAATCATCGTATAATTCGTTTGCTGCTTATTGTTTGCCATATGGTTCGAAACAAGCTCGATGTTATTAATAGAAAAAAAGTCGGAAGAAGATGCGATCACAATCACGAAAGTCGTGGTGTTTCTGCCTAGTAAGTGAAGACTCATAGTGAGCTGAATAATCCCACAAATAGAGTATGTACGACAATATCAACATTGTCCGAAGGAGAAGGTTTGGCGTAGCACTACGAACTCGTCAGCATTATCTACATATTCAGGGGAACTTTAGGTATACATCAGCATTGCTTTACTGCCAGCTTTTTAGATAACATAGAACATTAGCTAAGAGAAATCAATCGTGGATGATTGGTCTTCAGCTCAATCTCGAAAAACGGTGCTCCTTTTGGAGGACGAAATCTTCTCTAAGGTCCAATCTTCAGAGAAACATTACTTAGACAGTAATAACTTGTAAAGATCCTTCACGTCGTACGGAACTAAATTGAAGAGCGAATCGAGAAGAAAAGAGAGCTTAGGGGGCGTAGAAGCCGCGTTTCACTTATAACGGCAGCGCACTGGGTAGAGCGGGGGTTTGAAGTGGTTGAATGTTTTGCGTATTACTAAACACTCTCAAATGCATTATTATAGCAGCAAAGCACTTCTAAAAAGCAACAAACAGCAGGATTGTTAAGAATAATTGTTTTCGAGTACTTTTTAAAATGATTCAGTTGAAAAAAGGCTTCTTAAGAAATTTACTGGTCTTCGTCCATGACTTGATCGTAGCACTGCTTGTTGGAACGTAGGATCTTGCGCGAGATGCTTAAACTTATGATTTTTTAGCCAAATTTATAGTATAGCAAAGATACAGCACTGATTCTCAGTCAAATTACTTACCTGGGTGTCGTATGCGTGATCATAGTCATCAAATCCTTCGTAGAGGTCTTCTGCCGATCGCAACGACATAGAAGTCTGCCGGTTCGATGTCACAACGACACTGCGCTTACGTTGTCAAGGAGACTAGCAGCCATAGCAGCAATTCGGAATATGAGGGAGATATCAGAATAGTAGTGCATGGTAATTTATTAAGCGCTGTAAGATTTGCCTTACTGAGTGGGTTTGGCATATTTTTAGGCTCATTAATCTACAGCCGAGTCTTATCACCACCTCATCGGCTCGTATTCTTTGGGCCCTTCCACAAATTCTACCCCATTTCGACACCTTCGTTAAATTAGTTGTTATGTCTTCAATAAACAATTGTTTAACCATCGGGGCGTCTTGGCCGAGTGGCTGTGGTGCTCATGGTGCGTGGAGCCGAGCTCAACCCTACCCTCCTCCTAACTCTCTTCGGCAGTCAACAACAACGCCTTACGGAACACCACAGTCAGGCTATCCTTGAGATTGTAGGGAGACTCGCTCAACCAGTATTCTATGACGCTCAAGAAGAAGATGAATCAACGAACTGAATGCTAGAAGTACTGGGATCCGCACAGTGAAGAAAAATAACGCTCAAGTGGCCAAAAATATTTAGCAGTCATGACATCAATGACATGCATTCATTTCTAGGTTAAGATTGGATGCTTTCCTTCCAAAACAATGAGGCTAGCGACCATTAAAGTCGGTGAGGTCCTTTTCAGTTCGCTGTGATCTTCACACTTTTCCACATGCAGATGCTTCTGCAGGGCGCTGAAGAGATGACAATTCGACGGAAGAATATCAGGGCTTGAAGGAGAATGGGGGACCGTGGTTCACTTGAGTTTCTACGTAATGTGAGGAGTCGACTTTTCAATGTGAAATGGTCAATGCATGAGGAGTCCATCGAGATATCACTTTGCAGCAGCCTATTCCAGTTGAATAGCGACGATGGGAGTACGGCCGTATTTGAGTGTCTGGGTAAAGCTACTGTTTGGAAACAAAAGAAACAATGAACAGGACAATAGCGTGAAAGAAATTACCGGCAACCCAACAGATATTAGAATTTTACTTACGAATCGTGGATTTGACGAACACTTCAGTCGTAAGATTTTTTTCTTTAATGAACGAATGGAATTCAATGCACGTTCTGTGAAGGAATATGTGATTGATGATCTAAGTTTGACCCGTAATCGTTCTGATATGAAATGAGCAGCTATTTTGATAATTTATTGCACAATCACAGTGATACTTACTAAGAAGCATAAGATTTCGAAACAAATAGTTCTGGAAGAAAGCGGAAAAGAGTGAATGATTTCTGTCCAGTTTTTCTTTTTACTAATGGTTTTGTAAATAGCTTTTGAAGGTCTGTTGCAGTTTTCATCAAATTTCTATGTTTTGTTGACCAATTTGCAACCATTTCACTCGTTATAAATGATTAATGGTGTTTCACTCTATGAAATAGGCATGAAGTAGAACCAAGAAGCTGCGCGTCATTGAGGAGCGCAGTTTAGCTCCACTATGACAAAAAAGATGAACGTCATAAAGTGTCACATCACCTCAACATCAGATATATACTTTCTGAGAGCCTTAAAGTCACTTAACAACCATCTAACTATCCATAATAGAATCAGTCATAATGCATCGATCATAATCAACGCTGTCCGTACATCTTTTCGGCATCGAGCTAATGCTGACTTGCAGCAATCTGGCTAACCAAAGGACATGTGGGTGCCTTATTTCGCATATAGACATTTTTCAAGTCGAGCTTTATCTTCTTTCTACAATATTTAGCCTTTAGGCAATTGTTGATACGACCCTATGTGTCGCGAAAACCAAACTCTCCATCCATCCGGAATCTGCACTCTGGTAGCAGACTTGTCTAGAACAACAAAAAAATGATTATTTCAAGCATAGTTGAGCTCTTATAAGTCATTATACGAGCCAAATACGCATTCATTAACCTGTAAGATGCTCAATGGAGTGGTATGCACAGCGTATCCCTATTTGATCATCTGAAGTAGAGTACCCTGGCATTGTCCTTCTTTTCTATGAGTTGTGTTAGTGATGCGATCGTATTGTCATGTGGAATAGTGATTATCTCAAAATGATTTGTAGTTTGCACTCCAATCAGAGCTCAGACGGGCATAGGGCTAGCGTTAGGAATTACTCCCGTCTCAAAAGATATAGTTGCAATTTAGAAAATCTTCTCAGCCAAAGAAACTACCCCACTAACATGCTTTTCGAATGGAAATTCTACTGTACTTGCAGAATGAAACGACATATGCTCTTACTCAAGTCTCCGTAGCTTCAAGATGAGAATAGTAGAGCCTCTCCATGTTCTACGGTTTCTGAGATTTTCAAGTGAATCCAAAGTAGAGTTTTTTAGACTGCAACATATTAGATCGTTCCATAAGTTGTGGCATTGGAGCAATAAACACCAATTTCATTAAAAAGATGGAATTCAATTTACATGACTTTGGTATCGCTCAACTGCGCACTTTCTTGCAAAGATTTTAGTACACAACTTGCTTGAACTTACTTTAAGATGGAGTTGTCTTGGGAACAAATTCGCCTACTACTCATGCACGAATGGCGTGTAGGGGAAATGCTAGTGAAGCGGCGTGCAAGAATAATGAGGCTTCCTGTAGACGGCCCGAGCGCAACTGATACTCCAGACTGTTCTCTCCAGCTTTACACAATTTTGAATCTCGCGATCTATTTCCTAGCTGTCCTTTCTGCAGCCGCTCCATCACTCTATATTCCACCAACCTGTGCGCCATTTGTGGATGAGTAGCAAGTGAATTTGTTTCCGCGACAGCACCATCTTAAAGCAAATGTAGGCAAGATGTATACCGAAATGTTCACAAGAAAATGCACAATTAAGCGATACCAAAATCATGCAATTTTGATCACTTGTGATTTATAAATTCTGGTGTTTGTTGCTATAGTGGAAAAACTTATGGACCGACCTAATATTATTTATGGAATGATTTCATCCAAACATCGTTTCACAGTTCCAGAAAACTTCGAGCTTGACTTCCTATTTTCTCTGAACGCACAGCTCCCATTCAAGACTTCTTCTAAATCGTTTTTAATCTGGTCTAACTGACTCGAGTATTTCATTTCAAGTAACTCCCATGTTGCTTTGTTGTCAGCTACTTTCGCTTGTTGAACTGCACATCTAGACTGATCCACTCAGTATTTCCTTTTCATTTTACGCAAATGAAGACATTATCATCATGCACGTGTAGGATAAAAATAAAGCATCCAACGCCGTTCAAGCTCTAAGGAATGCGCCATAATTTGCATTCCATTCGTAGAATAGCAGAAATCATTTAGTGCATATTTGGACTATGAAACGTCTTGCTGCGACCTATCTATGGATTAAATCTTCCGATCTTGGAATGATGAGTGACTTGACGAGTTCTTGGCGCGGGATCGAACCAATGATCATGTCTGTGTTGCCATGGCACCGCTAACCATTGCGCTACACTCTCCACGCAACCCGACCAGTTTTATTGGAATAGGGTTAGTTTCAAATCGCAAATCCAGCAGTTCAGTCTAGGCATTAACATATGCAATAAGACACTTAAGTTAATCTGTAATAATTTATTTCACCATTCCTATAGCGGTTTTGTGAAGTTATAAAGATGTGCTTGAAAGAAAAACTATAAATAGAGCGTCGACGTCGATGACACAGTGGTATCACGGGCCCACTCGATGGGTGAGACACGGGTTCAACTCCCGCTTGAAATCGAACGTCTTGCATATCACTCAGCAGTCTCGGTTCACAAATATCCTCAAACATCAAAACCTCATATGATTACTTTGCATTCATTGTTTTTACTGTGTTTTCAGCAGTGATATGATGTTATAAAGATCAGCTAAGAGTATAGAGTGTCACGCAAAAACTCGACCTCAGGCGGAACTCGAACCCGCGTTTCAATCTTTATGAAGGCGCGCGATACCACTACGCTAAAGAGGCCACCTCTTTGCTACTCCTCTTTCTTCAATCGATACTATCGTCGCTGTTAGCAACCAACCTTTAACTGTACGTGATTCTTGTTGTGCGTCGAGAATCGACCACGAAACCGCACAGCATCCAGTTTCGACCACTAGCTAGCTGTTTCTCAAGCTCTCAGTGTCAAAAGTGCGCTCCGTTACATCGGTGGGGGGTCCTGAACGGAAATTGCCATGCTCGCTGTTGGGCACTTTGCCAATTTTCAAGCACCGCTTATTTTTTCGGCTGCAAATTTTTTCCGGATTTTTTGCTTCCGGGCAGTGATTGTGTTTATTATTGAGTCGCTTAGATGATAGTGTCATGTGAATGGTATCTTCATCGTCCGTAATTACACTCTTTTTCCGTTACAGTGTCTTTAAATGTGAGTCGAAATCTCCTAACTTGCTGTTTCCTGTCGTTGTTTTTTCTTATTCAGTATTTTTATCTATTTGAAAATATTCAATTCTGTATTACCACACAGTGTATTGCTGCATGAGTCTCTATGGCTTTGTATTTCGCTTTTCCTACACCTCGCTGCTGTACATCATCAGTCGTTTTATAATATATGTTCTTCTTATATTTGTATTCCTTTTGGTTTTTCGATCTCCTCAATAGAAACTTCTTTTTATCGCCTAGACATCTACTTTTGTTTTTTATTTGAGCGGATCAAGGGCAGGCATAAGTGAGAATTTTGAGCAAAAATTGCACGGGTGCTATTTATCGAGATGTTAACCCGTTTTGCGAACGATGAGAGTCATTTTGGCCCTCAGCCTTTCAGGCGTATTTTTTCGCTGGACAGGGGTTTTCTTCTAAAATCATTGAGGCTATTTGAAAGCGTAAATCTTGGCGATTTCAACATTGGGCTTGGTTTTCTAAAAGACCTATTAAGTGAGCTATAGCAGCAAAATAAAATCATATCTCGCACTCGGAGTGCTTTGCTTGTCTGGATAGGGTTTGTGGATAGTTTTTCATTCGATTATGCTAATGCTCATTCGATAACACAAATCCCGATGATTGCGAACCTGAAATTGGTTTTTTGAGGAGGTCTTCATAGTGCGTTGAACAAACGAAAATAGGAATGCGTTTCACGCCATCCGGAGTTTTCTTCGCACGTAAGAGTTATGTATGCACAGAAAATATATGAACCTGTAAAGGAAATTGTCAAGCAGAAAAGTGCCATAATAAATCTGGAATTTTTTTTGGGAATAAAGAAAAAATCCTTATTAAATAACGAAAATCGCGCGCCGCCTGTGGAAATCGATCAACTGCGTCTCTAGGGTGAAATCAAAACGAATTGAAATCATGCGCCGTTTTTATAGTTACACTCAGTTCCACTATGATTTGATATAAGCTGATGTCGAGGCCGGCTGACGCAGTGGTTAGTAATGCGGTGTATCAGACAGCACGGCGCTGGTTCGGTCCCCTTGTCTCCAGCGCTCTCCTATAGTCAATCAAAGAACGCCTTGAGGAAGGAACGCCCCTTCCTTCCTTCCTTAAGTTGTGATTACACTTCGCGTAAAGAAAGCTGGTGTTTCAGTTGCAGTTGAAGTGGGAACACAAACGTTCTAGTTCTTTATCCTACAAGACCCGTCATCGCGTCTATTGCGTGGATCCCAGCAAATGCATTCGTTGTCCCAAAGATCGCCGATCATTTCGCGTGTTTATTCGGCCGCTGTTTGAAGATTCGTCTTCCTTATGAAGTCGTAAAATATTGGTTGAGTCGATTCATCGTGAAATTTCGAAGATATCCGAACTATTGGATTGGCAAAAAACTTTCCAGACTTTTTCATTTTTATCAATTATATCTCATGCATTTGAGTTTTTATTTTCACTATCGTTCAGAGCAGCTTCTTGCGGTTATTTTGATATATAATACTTATACATTAGTCTAAATTCTTTCCATTTTGACCGTCACTTGCAGTGGTATTATCTCTATAGTATACCCAATATGTGGTGTGCTGTGCAAAAACCGACGTAGTGCAACGGTTAGCATACGCTCTCGGAAAGAGTGAGATCTGGGTTCGAATCCCGGCTGACGCAAACGTTTTTGCACAGCACTCCACATATTGGTTATACTTATACATTAGTTATAAGGTTTAAATGTGTCGAGATCAAAAACGATTGTTGGTGTTAAACGAGTATCTTTTGGAATTATGTGCTTCTTTGGCAAGCAACGTTACTCGTGTAGCATCCACAATTTTTTTGCTCTCGGGGCAATTCCATCTCAAATCAAGTGCGTAATTGTTATCATATCAAAATAACGGCAAGAAACTGCTTTAAGCGATAGTAAAATTAAAAATTCAAATGCATGAGATATAATCGACAAAAATGAAAAGTCCAGGAAATTTTTTTTCTAACCCAATAAAGCGATCTCAGTGTTGGCTGCAAGAGAGCTTTGAGGAAGAGGGAATCGGAGCTGAGTTCGCTAAACTAGCAAAAATAATTTGTTCTATCTATTTGTTTACTTTGAGGCACAAACCATAGATATGGCAACAATGAATACTATGGAGTGAGTGACCTTGGTCACTTGCATTTCCGTCGATCACCCAGTGGCTTAAGTTGTCCGCAGTGTCTGGATTCGTCTGGATAGCGCGCCAGGCTTGTCCACTGGATTCTGTCCACTCAGTTGACATGGAGAGCCCCACCTTCTCTTCGTGAACACGTATGACCATTGAGCTAGCACTCTCCTTACTGAGTGCTTGACGTCCTTCCTTAGTGACCCAGTAACCGACTCCTTTTGATTGGTGTTCGGTCGTTCAGAGACGTCTGACGTCCCCGTCACATTACTTCCATATCTTAACGTATGCGATGTTGTCCCCTGGTGACTAATCATCGACATACGTCAGAACTCGTATTCGATCTCATTACTGTCAAATAGGCTGCTAATAGTTGTTTCTCTTACACGTTCGATCGCATTAACCGCACGTGTTAAATAGTGTAGTGCGGAACCGAATGCTTTTCTTTCTCCTCTTCAATTCATAGATGTTCTTGTAATCGTTCCTAAATTGCTCGATTCCTAATGTTCACATTTGGGAGAAAACAGACATTATTTTTTCTTTCTACCCAAACAATGTAGCTCTGAAGACGTGAGGTTTCCGTTTCTCTAGAGCCACCACATCAGTGTCCTTCTCCGCGTTGGTAAACATCGTATTCTTTAGATCCGAGTGTTGACCGAATTTTCACACTCTTTGTTGAGTTTCGAGGCGGAAAATAGCAACAAATGTTCTAAGAATCTATTGAAGTGTATTATTTATCAATGTGATACTTGTAATCTGTGTTCTAGTCAACTTTGTACGAGGATTTTTACTTATGCCGTCTAGCAGATCCTTTCGACGATCGATGGGCGTTGGACCCATATTACAAGGTCATCTCCCCGATCTTATTCCCTTTTGTCTAAGTCATCATGCTTCAGCAATCATTTGCATTGTGAGCATGTAATGTATGGAGACCGTTCTACTTAGATCCATTAGTAATAAATCAGGAAATTCTTTTTCTAGCAGATGTTCAGCGCTGAAATTGCACCGTATTCAGGTAGGAGAATGGTGGACTTTCTCTCAATTAATGAACGATGTTCGTTTTGTTGAATAAGAAGGAGTGCTCCGGTCGGTCCTTACAAATGTTGAAGCATTGAAGGGTAGAAAAGTTGGCCATTCCACTTAATTAGTGAATCTAGAGTGCCTACATCTCCTAAACTTTTATAAAAATTTTTTGTATCACAATTGTAATAATACTTCGCACATAAATATTAATCCTTATGAGGGCACTGATGTGCTGAACATGGGCACTGATGTGCTAATCTTTCTTTATAATCCTTTTTAGATCGAACCTTGCTTTAGAAGCCACCGAAAGGTTTTTTTCCATTTGAAAACACCTTAAAGCCTTTGCGTGCTTCATAGTCACATCATTCATTGAATGAGTTTGATGATTAGAATTGCGGTTCTTTGGATCTTTTTTCTACACCATAAAATACGTTTTTATTTCTTTTTTTATGATGATATGAGGTCAACGTGGTATGATCTGGTTAGAATGGGAGCAACTCCTGTTAGTGGTACCCAATTCTCACGGTCGCGTCTTCATAACCCCAAAGAAACGTCACCACTACTCTGCAAACCGTTCTTAGTGTTCAAATATCGTCCAGTATTTCTATGAGAAATGTTCATTTCTATCGCTTTCATGGCAGTGTTATGATCTATCCAATGCTCTGAATCTTCTTATTTGGCCAGAAACTTTTACTTCCACGACGTTTTTCACGATTGTTAATGGATTTTCATTATAGTATGTCACTATAACTCGATCTTGCTGATTTTGCGTGGTTTCGAAGTGAGCTCGAAAGCGAATATAATGTTTTGTGTCTATGTTTGCTCTGCTTTGTATTTCTGACCGTGCTTTGATCGCCGTTCCTTCTATTTACTTACTTTTACATTGGTTCGTTACTTGCAAAGAGGACTTACTTGCTACTACTTTTCTATGAAATGTGATCGAAATTTGAATGTTCAAGGAGTTATACTGCGTAGGCTGGAGCTTAAATTTTGTTCCTTTCGTATCTGGAATGACTGTGTTTTCTGGTCTAGCAAAAGATACGGGTTCATTCTTAACGATAAACAAAGCACTAGTATGTAAAGAAAGCAAGGAAAACGAAACAATGCGTATATTCTTTGTAAGTGCTTCTATGCTGAAAAGGTGCTACGCAGTGCTTTGAGGTGGTCCATAAGAAGGCTTTTCGTTCGATCTTTTTTTTTACCCTCTGAGGCAAGCAAAATGGTGCCAGGTGTGCCTGGAGAGTAGAAACACTGATCTGTTACTTAGGTAAGCCAACACAAGTCATTGTTCATGCCGCATATGCATTCATTCATGGCTAACAATGGTTGACGAAATCGAACCATGAGCAAGCCCTAGAGATTGATCAACGTCGAACGCTTTCTTGCTTTTATTTGTTTACCGCAGCTATTTGCACACCAGCAGCACTTGGCGCCAACACTAGTCCTG